TTCCCAAAAAAAAAAAAAAAAAAAAGGGTATAAAATGTGAGTGGCGGGGTGTGGGGGGGGGTAAGGAGTGCAAGATGAAACTTCACAGAAACAGATTTAAGGAGAATGTAGACTCAGGCAGAGAGTAGTGTAGTCGTCTACTCATCATGACTAATTGAAGGGAACAAGGGCTTTTGGCAAAGTTTTCCTAACCGCACCACTGAAGGTTGGCGTCATGGCCAGGAATTTTCTTGGGTTGGGGGTACGGGGCTTTTTAATACTGCAGAGAACTAGAGAACCAACCTTCCTGGAGCATCTTCTTCTGTGTGCTGGGTGTTTCATAATTATTTCACTTAATCCTAACAGCAACTTTGTGTTGTTGGTATTATTATCTCCACGTAAAGATGAGGAATGAAGGCTGAGAATATGAAGGCACTTCTACTCTGGTTCTTGGGAAAACACCCTGGCGAGGTCTGGGCCCTCCAAGCAAATGCTGCCTTGCGTGGAGGTGTTCTCCCAGCAGACGGATCACCAGGCTCTCCTCAAGTCGGTAAAGGCTGCTGGCCTTCCTTGTTTAGCGAATCATGCCGTTTGTAAAAGGGCAGGGGTTTGCTACAGGCACTAAAGCTATGCCTGAGTTACGGTGCATGCCAAGCTTTTAGTGATATTGTTAGAGAGGATGAGTAGATTATTGGAGTTTTTGAGCTTTAGTCCTTTAGTCATGATGACCCTCAAGACCCAGCAAACACATAAAAGAGCAGCATCTGGCCCTTTCCTGAGCACAGCCAGATGAAGCAGTGTCCATTCTCCCATGGAAGCTGCTGCTGCTGCATCCACTAGGCTTTCCCTGAGTGGCGAGTGTGGCCCTCAGATTCTTTTCTACCCACTGGATTTTTGTTTTTACAAAAGCAAGAACTATTTTCTCTGCTTCTGCTGCAGTGGTCGATGAACGATTTAGTATGAGCAACTGGGCATAAGACCAGTCAGGTCTGACTATTTTAGGAAAACTCTCTGCTGTGTGGCTCTGGGGTTTGGCTTGTTAAGCCTAGTCACACAGGGAGAGAGATGCTGATTTTAAATACTTTAGTAAAAGTATTTTAAAATCTCTTAACTTCTTTCTTATAAAGATTTCTACAGAGGGCAGATTTATAAAAACTAGCTGTCCTCCTGTGTTTGGAACATAAATAAAGGTCAATATTTCTTAGTGTAGCACCTTTAGAATTGTTTAAAATAGTAACTCACAGTTAGAAATAAGTTTGGTATCACATCACAGTCTGGCAGAGAAACTCACACACACATACACACAGAAAGCAAAATTTCTTGAAACATTACTTACCTTTTACTACAGTGGATGACCTCTGATCGTTGCTATTCTATCTTATTCAGCTGAAAAGGCATCACAAGTCACTAGGTTGATCTCACGGGCCACTAATGGCACGGGACCCACTATTTTAAAATATTCATTAGTAATGAAGTCCTCTGGAGACCATCAGACCCAGATTATAACTCTCTCTGCCACCCCCAAGCTGTGTGACTTCGAGCAAGCTGCTTAGCCTCTTTAAACTTTAGTTTTCTCATATTGAAAATAGGGGTAATGATAATATCCCAGGAACCAGACAAGTTAGTGCTTGTGAAGTGCTGAAGAGTGCTTGGCCCCCGGTAGACCCTTGGTTCATGTTGGCATACAGGCAATTTCAAGGCAAAGTGAAAAAATAGGACTTTAATGGAAGGTTGCTGTGCCTTAGCATTGCACGACCTTTTTATATGACTTCTATGAAAGAAATAATAGGACTATAATAAAGTTTCTCCAACTTCTTTATGTTATTCTAATTTAAAAGCCATGTGACATATATGGTTTCTATTTTAAGCAGCCTCAAACCTCTTTTGAAAGCTGAAGGGGGTTTGTAAATGATTAAGCAACAAAAATGTCCTTACAACTTCCTAATAATATTTTTTATTGATCTAGAAGAGGTGATTAAGCATTTGATTAAAGACAATTTTGAAACAGAAAACTGAGGCTGTGTAAGATATTTTGAAGGTGGAATATTGTCTTCCGTTATAGGGTTTTATCATGAAGATATCCTTGAGTTCTCTGAAGGCTGGACTCAACTGAATGTGCATCCTCACAGATGCAGACTCATTCCGAGGGAGACAAACAGTCAAGTGTCACAGACAAGAAGGATCAAGATTGTTTCCTTTTCCCTGGGGAAAAAATGGGTTTCATCCAGCAAGTACGGGTGAAGAAAGGGGAGGAGAAAGACTGACCATGTACAAACGGCACCTACCAACTGTATTTCTCAAAATTCTCCATTTTCACCCCAGAATGGAATATTCCTGAAAACAACTCAAGGTACAAATTTTGTGTGGAAGGAAAATAAATAAATAGAATCTATTCCCTACCTACCCCTTGCCTTCTGTATCCTAAATCCCAGTTGTCTAACCTAGTGCCTCATACTTACTTGGTGCTCAATAAAATTTTTTTAATGAACAAATGAATTAATGGGTGATTTAGGAATAAAAGAACAGTTGAAGGAATAGCCCCTTTAATGAGGGAGCTCATCTCCTTTTTATTTATTTATTCTTTTGGTACACAGGCCTCTCACTGTTGTGGCCTCTCCCGTTGCGGAGCACAGGCTCCAGATGCTCAGGCTCAGCGGCCATGGCTCATGGGCCATGGGAAGCCCAAGAATAGCCCCTTTAAAAATGTAGAATTCCCATAGTTGCAGGGTAATGTTTTTATTTTGATGAGAAAGTATATTTTTAGTCTTCAAGGTATTTATCGTTCGGTTATTATACAATTTAGAAAATGATTAAGAATCCTTGTTGGGCTTCCCTGGTGGCGCAGTGGCTGGGAGTCCGCCTGCCGATGCAGGGGACATGGGTTCGTGCTCCGGTCCGGGAGGATCCCACGTGCCGAGGAGCGGCTGGGCCCGTGAGCCATGGTCGCTGAGCCTGCGCGTCCGGAGCCTGTGCTCCGCAACGGGAGAGGCCAGAGCAGTGAGAGGCCCGCATACAGCAAAAAAAAAAAGAATCCTTGCTTTATTTGGCACATACTGAAAAAGAATCAATACCCATCTGTAGACAGCATATTATGCTGTCTATTCTTCCTGCCATCTGTGGAAGTGGAGATAGTTTTACTGAAACTCGGGGATTATAAAAACGGAGGATGCCTACATACAAGCTGTGTCAGTAGTTTCTGCAGCAGTTTCTATGGGACCTGTGTCAAACACACAGCTGAGAGGAGGTTTGAACATATGAAAGAAAATTTCTTCATAATGGTCTTTCTCGTCTCTCTTCTGGCCAATGTTCTGGACATATCTGTGCAAAGTGATTCTAAAATGACTCCTTGGGCTTCCCTGGTGGCGCAGCGGTTGAGAGTCCGCCTGCCAATGCAGGGGACACGGGTTTGTGCCCCGGTCTGGGAAGATCCCACATGCCGCGGAGCAGCTGGGCCCATGAGCCATGGCCGCTGAGCCTGTGCGTCCGGAGCCTGTGCTCCCCAACCGGAGAGGCCACAACAGTGAGAGGCCCGCAAACCACAAAAATAAATAAATAAATAAATAAATAAATAAATAAATAAATAAATAAATAAATAAAATAAAATAAAATCACTCCTTGATAGCTTTTGGAAACCAACTGACTGCTGCCTAAGGACATACTTTGTTGCCCACAAACCCCTTCCTTGTTGGGAAACTACCTGTGAGAATGATCTTACAGGTGCTCAGTTTGAGAATCGACGGAGGTGATCAAGACCCTCTCTGCTTTCTCTGATTCTCTGCCAATGCTTGTCCTGCATGAAGCTGAAGAAAGCCTTTATTGTCTCAGCCTGGTTTTCTGGCTGAGACTCTCTCCACAGCCCTGCCAGGGATGAAGGTCCCACCACCCACAGGGAGCCCAGAGGAACCTGGCCAGTGAGTCCATTTCCCAGCGTGCACTGCTCCTAGTGGAGTTCAATCCAGTTCAGATGCAGGGGAGCCTCTGCCATTTACTCCAAAGAGCCAGTTACTGCAGCACAGGAAGAAACATTCATTTAACATCTAGGAAATTTTAGCTGAGTGCATACTACGTGCTACCTCAACAAGGCAGACAACGTCCATTCCCACCTGGAGCTCAGGTGGCAGGATCTCCAAGAGGAGCAGCAGCGCTACTCAGTGAAGCAAAGGTGAATCCAGTTCATTCGCTGAGTCCACCTACTGGATGCCCTCCTCCTTCTGGGAAGAGTCTGAGCGCCACTAAAACCTCACCTTTCTAGGGCACCCATTTATTATTTGTTTGAAGGAAACTAGTAAAGTCTGCCTTAAAAAGTGGTTATGTTAAGGTGAGTGGAGAGAAATTACCCTCTTGGTGGTGGTTTTTTTTTTTTTTTTTTTTTTTTTTTTTTTTTTTTTTTCGGTACGCGGGCCTCTCACTGCTGTGGCCTCTCCCGTTGCGGAGCACAGGCTCCGGACGCGCAGGCTCAGCGGCCATGGCTCATGGGCCCAGCCGCTCCGCGGCATGTGGGATCTTCCCGGACCGGGGCACGAACCTGCGTCGCCTGCACCAGCAGGCGGACTCTCAACCACTGCGCCACCAGGGAAGCCCGGTGGTTGTTTTTTGAAGTTAGAAATCTTGTCCCTTTATGCTACTGTTCAGTCCTCCCAGCTTTGACAATATACACAATATTGTCATATGGCCATATCAGTCAGTATGTGTAGAATTCAGATCCAGATGCATATGCACACATTTATCCCAGCTTCTTCCCATTTCAAAGATTCCTACCTTAACTGAGTTTCTCTGAGCCCCTATTTTCTGTAGTGTTCTTCTGAGACAAACCCACCACCTCTGACTGGTGAATGTCCTTCAGGATCCTACTCACAGATTTTCTGCAGAAACCATCACCCCATCTCCCTCTTCAGACTATTGCCCAATGTTTGGACAGATTTGGGGAAATGATGCTTAACTATGTGGGACAGAGTACAGGTTCAATACGTGTTGATTTAAATAGGAAAACCCCAGAATTTTAAATTGCCAACATCATCCTCACCAGGGATGGATTTCCATCCTATGTCCCCCTTGGCTGGGTGCTTTTATGTGGGTCACAAACTGAACACCATGGTTCTTGGTGGGGTCTAAGGTATACGCAGGCACAAGAAAGATTTCTCTTCCCAAAACATCTCTTCTACTGACCAGTAAACTGCTTAAGCTTCATTTTAAGGGATGCATTCTTTTAGGTTCATATCTTGTCTTTGAGTACTTAA